AACTTGTTTCTTAAAAATCAGTTGATACATAAAATTTTTGCAAGAGTACCGTAACCTAACCTTAACCCTAGAGCAGCTTACGGTCTTATCACAGAGCACCGCGGATGAGTATTTAATTGGAAGTTCACGCCTCCTTCCTAACCGATGTTGCAAGACTTGCCCAGAGATGGGGTTTGAAACACGGATCTTTGTTTCTGAGGCAAGTGCTACCACTACGCCACGGCTGCTCATTTTCAACAACCTCAATCTCTAGTTTTTCGATAGAGTTGGGAAAATTGTATTGGTTAAAGTAGCTAGTGAGGATGGGTGAGTAGACACATTTTTAGAGTCATCATTGTTCATGGTCATAGATATGTCCTGACTAAGCACACTTTCTTGAGAAATAACTGGAAGTTCTCGAACATTGTTGTATTTTTGAAATAAAATTTTTGAAATAAAATTTTTGACTGTTGTTAAAATCTTTTACGCTTTTATGCTCCACTTTCATTACGTGCGTCAATCATTAATGTAATTGCAATCATGGCAATTATTAAAAAACTCAAAAATTATGGAATCTGTGGTAATTTTTTAAAATAACTAAAGAGCTATTTAAGCGATCGTAAACAGTATGTGCAAATCGATGTATCCTCTACTACAAATTTACTAGATATAACATGTGGTGTCCCCCAAGGCCTTACAAGAGTCTATATTAGGACAGTTGCTTTTCCTCATTTATACTAATTATCTTTATAATGCCTCAAAATTAAAAACAGTGATGTTTGCTGATGACGCAAACTTTTTCTATCTAGCATTAATATCATAACTCTATTTATAGACATGAACATGAAGCTAATTAAAATTTCAAAATAATTCAAGCCAAATAAGTTATCAATTAACATAGAAAAAACTAAATGGACTCTATTTCATCCAAAATCCAAAAGATATCTTTTGCTAAATGTTATGCATCAAATATATATAGATGATATTTAAATAAAGCAATCAAAAATACGTTTTCTTATTGTTCTTATTGACGAAAATCTCATAAGCAAAAATCATATTAAAATTTACCCCAACAAAGTTTCAAAAGATATTGGAATATTATAAAAACCGAGAAGTTTTGTAAATAGACTCATTAATTCAACTTTATTACTCTCTTATCCAATGCCATCTAAATGATGCATCGCGTTGGGTAGTGCTAAAAAAATCAATTAGATACGCATTTATGATAACAGAAGCATCTAGCGCGATAAAGATCGTTTTACTCATGCAAAACCAATTTTATTCGAAATGAATATTTTTGATATATACTAAATTTTTAATGTTCTTTGCTTTATATTCAAATGTAATAAACTTAACTCCTATATCTTTTCAAAATTTGTATGCAATAAAACCCAAAAATAAATACGATCTAAGAAATAAAAATTTTATTTATCAACATTATTCGCATACAAATTTTGTATGATTTCTTATTATTATTTTTTTTTTTCTCTTAACATTTGCCGTAAAATAAATACTATATTTTACAAAAACAAAGAAAACAAGGCTTCTGAAAGAAGATCTACTGATCTTATCATCAGAACCTTTACAATTTTATCATACTATAAAAACTGAAAATATAAATCCAAAAACGGCCGTAATAATAAATATATAATAATAAATTCATAAAATTAATCACGTATCTGTAATAATAATTCTCACAAATCTGTTATAATAATCCATAATAATAAATTATATAGATCTGATATAAATTAAAGAAAATAAATTTATTAATATAAATATTATTATAAATCTCATAAATCAAGTTTATACTTCAAGCTAATAGTAACTTAAAATGTCATCCATAGCAAAAATGAATTTTTTTAATTCATTTTTAAAAACAGAAAAACGGATAAACGGATCAAAATTAGGCAGAATTATTTTATTCCAAAGGTAAGGTGCTCTATAATTAATACAAAATTTATTAAAATTTGTTTTACAAAATGGTTCATTTAGCAAGCCTTTATTTCTAAGTGAGTACTTATTAGTAAGTTTTAATGTAAAAAGGTCGTTAAAAACAGATAGGGATAAATTGTTTTTCCACATATAAGTAAAACATAAAACATTGAAAACATTAAGTTTGTAGACATTAAGTATTTTCATTTCATCAAAGAAAGGCTTTGAATGTGTGGAGCGATCCACATAATTAATCACGCGAATGGCATGTTTCTGTTGGCGATATAGACGTTGTAGTTTACTTTTTTCGGTACTACCCCATGCAATATTTGCGTAGTTTATATAGCTGTGTATGAATGAGTAATAGAGCTGCGTAAGGCTTTTTTTGCTTAAGTAAGGTCGGACTTTATACAAAATGCCAATATTTTTAGATACCTTGGTGGTTACATGGTTAATATGGTTTTTCCAAGTAATATTCTCATCAAGATAAACACCTAGGAATCTTATAACAGAATCTCTTTTTATTAGAGTTTCATCAATATATATTTGAGGCATAATATCTGGTAAAGAACGTTTTTTTGAGAAGGAATGAAAAAGAATCCATTTAGTCTTGTTAGTATTTAACGTTAATTTATTACATTTAAACCATTTAGAAATGTTTATAAGTTCATTAATAGTTTTTGAGAAAAGTTTGTAAATATCAGTGTGGGATTGATATAAGTTAGTGTCATCGGCATAAATAATACTAATCAGGTTAGAGGCTTTGTTTAAATCATTGACATACATAAGAAATAGCAGCGGTCCAAGAATAGAACCTTGTGGGACGCCACAGGTTATATTTAAGGATCTACTTTGAACGTCATTATTACTATTGACTACTTGCTTACGATTTGTTAAATAGCTTTTAAACCACGCTAAAGTATTATTGTTTAAACCGTAATATTTCATTTTTTGTATTAAAATATTATGGTCAACCGTATCAAATGCTTTTGATAGATCTATAAAAATACCTAATGTATATTGAGCTTTTTCAAAGGATTTGGAGATGTTGCGTACAAATTGAATAATGGCATGCTCAGTTGAACTATCTTTTTTGAAGCCGAATTGATTATTGTATAGTAGGTTATTGTAATTAAAATAATTATTAACTCTGTTAAACATAATTTTTTCTAGGATTTTGGAGAATACAGATAGGATAGAGATGGGGCGGTAATTATTGATATTGGATCTGTCGCCTTCTTTGTGAATTGGAATAATTTTAGCAATTTTTAAGCGCTCAGGGAAAATTCCTTGTTGGATGGATGCTTTGTAGATTTTAAAAAGAATATTTTTAATTTGTTCACAGCAATCTATAACTATATTTCCGTTTATTTCATCAGGCCCAGTTGCTTTATTTTTTTTAAGGTTTTAAAAGCTTTTTCTAACTCTTCAAAGGATAATTCGGACGACAGTTCATCTGAGCAAATGCCTTTATCAAGAGGTGCTAAAAAATCATGAAAAGAAGTTTTGGTAATTGAAATTTTATCTGATAGGGTTGGACCAATTTCAACAAAATATTTATTAAACTCATTAGCTATAATTTGTGGATTGTATAAAATTTTGTTATCGATTTTAAGCATGTGTGGTAAAAAACTTGAGCATGTTTTTTGTTTCCCAATTATTTCTTTTAGTATTTGCCAAGTGCGTTTTAGGTTATTTTTTGTTTCATTAATCAAATTTGAATAGTAGTTTTTTTTTAAACTTTTCCGGATTTTTTCAAATAAATTTTTATATTCTTTGTATTTTTTTTCGCTTGTAGGAGTTTTTGTTTTTAGGTATTTTATATATAACTTTTGCTTAGTTTTTGATGATTTTTTGAAACCTTTGGTAACCCAAGGATTATTGTTATGAAATACTTAACACAATCAAAAACTCAAATTTTTTAAAAAGTGGAGAGAACAAAATTAATGTCTAATATAATATACATTATAATAAGAACAATTTTAGGTTTGCGATAGATTTTTAAGAAAAAAAATTAAGATGAGAATGCAGGAAGTGGAGTTTAAAAAGAACTTATTGAGAAAACTTAACAAAATTATTTGATTTAAGTTTTTTTAAGAAAATTTGAGACTATTTAATTTTTTAGTGTTGCTCATTAATATTTCAAAATCACTTTTTTTTTAATTATTGCTTTTATTTTTTGCCGTATAAATATATAAATACAGTGAATATTTCAATATAAATACAGATGGCCGGTGCAAAAAGACACAATTTGTCTTATCGCTAAGCCAATATACATACAACTAAATTTTCTTTTAGAAAAGGTAAAACAAAAAATTACTACGGAATAAAGTAGACCAGTAAAAAAACTTAACATAAGACTTAACATGTTTGGTGTTGATAAAATCAAGAGTAAATTTTAACTTTAGTTATTTCAACTGTTTAAGGGCTTTTAATACCTCAGATACAATCGTACAAGAGAAATAACCTTCAAGTTGCTGCAAATCATTTGCGCTGTGAGTTATAAATGATCTTTAGCAACTGTTGCATGCGTTTGTCTTCTTACCAAAAGCATGTGCATTTAAACATGATTGTCATGTGCTAACAATCTAATTCGTTTGTAATTAGTGATGGTTTTTTTAAAAACTTTAACCGAAAAATAATTAAAATATATAAGCTTATTTCTCATCTATTACTTGTAATTAATAAGTTATTCTTTATTATATTTATAATATTATTAAACTTGGATAATTTTTCTCTATGAGCGAATACGAAGTATTTTATAAGAATTGTTTCAAATTATTACCTTTGGATAGTATGTAAAAACTGCTTGATAAATGTTGCGTTGAAGAATGCAATTTGCATTTTTATTTCGTTAATATGAAGTTCAAAAACAAAATTGGGTGAATAAAAGATGCGGGCTTTTTCTACAGAAATCACCTTAGGTTTAAATTTTGATTTTAGTATAGTATATACTATAATAGCAAACTAGAGGAGAGCAAAAAAACGCAAGCCAGTTTGAAAAAATTTTATTTTTCAAATTAAGTACGGAGTAAAGAAATTTGATGCAACTAAGATGCATCTTTAGGATCATCTCAAAAGAAGAGAAATTGAATTTTAAAAATATTGATCTATAAAAACTTGAGTAATACATGAATATTTCGCCATCTTACAATAGTTAATTTTGTGTCATACCCACCCAAGATATATATTTTTCTTTCCTAAAAACACTACAAAATACGGTTTCTTTTAATTACTAATGCAATACACTACTCAATTTAAAAATGGAATCACAGATCCTTAGGCTGGTTTGCTCAGAAATTTAATTGACAAAAACGCGATAAAATATCGCTTATTCACATTTTATTTCGTTTTTTAAAAAAAGAACGGGGATTATAAAAAACATTACGACTTTAAGTTACACAGATTCTAGCATAAGCAAACCGAAGTGAGGCTGGGTAAGAAGAATTTTTAAGAAATTCTCACGATAAATGTAGATTAAGCTTTTAATTATCGCTTTCGTCTTCGGAGGATTCTTCTTCAGCACTCTGTAGCCATTCAACCATTTTCTCCATCTGACTGAGAAAAACACTTTTGCCTTTAGCACTGTGACCGTCTTTGTACCATCGTATGATAGCATCTTCTCCAATAACATCAGCTAAATTAAACTTTAGAAATTAAAATACTAAATGTTAACTTTCTAGTGGCTACACAGTATAAAAACTTAACAATTTATTTTTTGAATAAACAATTATATGGTTCGAAACTTATCGTTATATTTACAACCTCACATCTAAAATGAACATGTATACACGATAGTCTATAGTAATTATAAATATGGCATAGTAAATTTAATACACCCTTATTTTGAACAAGCCTTTGTGGTTCTTTAAATGTTTACTAAAAAAAGTTTTCTTTAAATATTTAATAAAAAAAAAAGATTACTTTTATAAAACAGCATAATGATCTTCTGAAAGAGTTTCATAAAGTTCATATTATCGTAACAATATTCTTGTATTCTTTGCAAAAGTAGAAGCTCAACTTCATTTTCTGGCGTAAAAGCTTGTAGAACCGAAGAATATTTTTTTAAATGACGTAATGCCTGCTCAGCCAACAAATCTTCTTTTTTGTTCCATTCAACAGCATTCATTAATGAAGTCCACAACTAATAAGATATTTCATTAAATTTACAAATTTAGTTGTATAACAAATATTTCATCAATTTCAAGTTAAAAAACCATAATAAAAACAATTCAACAAAAAAAAATTCTATCTTCTATAAAATTATAGAAAATACACAGAGGGTTCAAGACGTGTTTTAAACATCTGAAACACGTTTTAAAACGTATTAATACATTTTAGACCTCTAAAACATGCCCACTGGTATGATTACTTTATTGAATTATAAGGATAATTCAATAAGAAAAATAATTATAATAAGTAAAATATTATTATAATAAGTAAAATAATTATAATAAGAAAAATAATTATAATAAGAAAAATAATTATAGTAAGTATAATAACCAAAAAATTAACATAATTACTAAAACTAATAAAGTAATTACCAAAATTAAAAGAATTAAAATAATTACCAGAATACAAACTTCTGAATCTTTCAGACTATGTTTTTCCTTGCAATCCTTAGAAACTGCAATTACCTATGAACACAAAATTTCAAGAATATTATTGATTCATAAAACACTATAATAATCATAATATATTTTTAAAAAATTTCAAACTACAAAACTTTAAACTAATAAAAAGACTAATTCTTTTTTTTTATTAAAATTTTACAGACCATTTTCTAAAAATAAACATCCAATAAATGCCTAAAAATACAGCTCTAGCTTTGAGAATATTTTCTTAACCACTACCTATGTAATTTTTTAAAAATACCAGATAATTTTGGAATTTAAATTTAAATTCTTTTAAAAAAATACTAAAATTTTTATAAGCCAAACCTGGTGTCTGATATGAATGGAATTGTAGCTAAGATTTACAAAATTTTTGTTGCTAAATACTAGATAAAAATAGTCAAGACAACAATACGCATGTTTTGATTTTAATGCATCAGTTCTACAAAAACTTTATTAGAAAAATATAGTTTTAAATTAAAAGTTAATTTTTATTTATTTATTTTATCCAAATCTTTTGTGCTATAATATTGAGAAAATAAATTTATTGGTATAATTTTAATAACAAAAAATAAACTACTACCAGAGTTTTTCTAAGGGATAATGTAATGAAACACCAATATTTATATGAGCAGTATTATATGTACACAGTAAAATGATCATCATTTTAAAATTTTTATTGTGAATTGCATAATTTTTACTAAAGTTTCAACAAAGACTTAGCTATCTCATCTCAGGATATCTTAAAATATTGAATACCTCTGCAGCGCTACCATCATTTTCAAGCAGCTTCTTTAAACGACTCTTTAATTCTTGTATAGAAGTTCGAGTGTTCTGATTCCTCTACATAAAAAAAACTGTTATTTTAAAGTTGTTACTTTTGGGTTACTATTTAAGTTTAAAAAGTATTAATTTCTTTTTAAATATAAATAAATTTAAAAAACAAAAAAACTCTACTTGAAACTCTACTATTTGATTTAGATTAGCACCACTGAAGTATGCTTCAAAGTTTTCTATAGTACGTTTGTTTAATGGGAAAAGTTCCTAAAAAAAAAGTTATTAAGACATTATTATTTCAATAGAGTTAAAATTTATAACAAATAACTATGTATATATGTATATATATATACATATATATATACATACATATATATATATATATATATATATATATATATATATATATATATATATATATATATATATATATATATATATATATATAGGGCTCGAATTAAGTGATCGCAAATTGCAATATCCGGAAATATCTGTGGTCATTAAATTCTTAGTTTTTTTAAAAACCATAAACACTTTTTTAATGAAACGTTCAGTTTATCATATTGCAAAAATTAATGAAAAAGCAAAACAATAAATTTACAACCGCAAAAATAATAACAGTCAAAATTTACATATTATTAGTTATTTTTTTTTAAATAATAATTAATATGTAATTTAAGGATTATAAATAAAAAAAAATTGCAAAACAAAAATTATTATTACTAAAGGTCCGCGGTAATTTAAAAATCAACCAATTAAAAAGTATGCTAAACTACTTGCACATTATATAAAACATAAAATAGATTTTTATTTAGGGGGAAAGTTTATGGAATTATTTAAAAACTATACTTATAAAATTAAAAATTATAAAAAAAGTATATTTTTTTAAAATATGTTATTAGAGTTTCTTTTTTTTTGGTTTTAAAGTAACTATTAGAAAGTTTAAATTAGTTTTTATATATTAACTCCTCTGTCTTTTAATTTTATCTTTGTATCAGCTAAAGTGTTACAAGCGTTAAATTTATAAAAAAATATTGAATGAGATTTCAATTAGATATAAAAGTATTTTATATCTTATTTAACAATTTCTTTTAAAATATTCGATCACTGTTAAAATCCTTTAGATTGTTGTGATTAGCGCATGTTTTTAATATTTATATAGTACTTTATCGTGCTTTATTTTTCTAGTTTTATGTGATGTTTTATAAAATAAATTAAAATATCAAAGTTTTATTATAATCTTTAATAATAATAAAAATAATAGTGATAATATGGTTTTACATAAAGATTTAATATCATAATCGACGTAAATATTTTTAATTAAATTAAAACAGTTTTATGGTTTTTAAAAAGCTAAAATTTTAAAGACCGGAATTTCCAGATATCGCAATTCGCGATCACTTAATTTGAGCCCTGATATATTATTTTACATTTTTGGCTTTGTTATTGTATTTTATTATGGACCCAGAGTGAAAGTAAATAATTATCACAAATTGGAATTTTCAAATTTGTTAGAATATGTTACAATACAAAAGTATAACTTTTGTATATTTTAAATTTTTTTAAAATAAAGTTAAGGTATAAATATTTTTATATAATTACTTTTTATTGTACATTCTATTCAACTTTTTATTCTGTAATGTAGTAATAACACAGAATAAAAAGTTTATTTTAATAATCATTTAGTTTAAAATTAAAACAAAAGGTTTGTTTCAATGTTTTTATTTTAACTATTTTATTTAAAATTTAAATCTAACTTTTCTGTTTTTATTTTAACTATGTTATAATAAAAGCGGAAATTTTTAGTATAATTAAAAAACCAAACATTTTATTTCAACTCTAAAGTTTAAATAAAACATTTAATTTGAAAAAAAAGTTTAAAATTGAGCATACTAGACAAAAAATTACAAACAGCCTAGAGAGGTTTGCCAAAAAATATTGAGAAATGTCAACATTTATCAAAAAAAAAAAAAAAAAAAAATTGTGGACCCTTGCTAAGGAGAGTGTAATCTTGGGGTAGGGTAAAGCTGGACTTTTCATTTAAAAAAAAAAAAAAAAAAAAAAAGCTATCCAAAGATGATTGTTTTATAATTACTTAACAAGGTACCATAACAAAGAAAATCATGAAAGGAATTCTCACAATAACTAAATTAAAGCCAGACAATAGGTAACAATAAAGTTAGTGAGATCATAGCATGGCCTGAATCGCATAATGAACAAAACAGAACTAAACACAAGTTAGGGCCAGAAAAGACACAAAATAAAGGTGTGATTAGGGTTGATTTGCTAAAGTTAAATTTAAGTTCAAGAGATTAAAGGGAAAAGTTTTTCGCAAAAACACCAGCAGAAGTTATTGAGCGTTAAAATTTGTTTCAGTTTTTCAAATTTTTTATTTCAAGTTTCAATTGCAAAATTATTCAAATAAGATGATTTTTAAATATGAGAGATATTAAATTAAAAATAGCAATTATGAACAAAATATACAAAGATACTATTTTATAATAATGCAACCCCCTTACATCAAACCAGCATCGGGGATAAGGAAGGAGTAGTGGTGGATTCAAAGGTGAGGATTCAAAAAACAAAAGTGGCAGATTCAATGCGAGGATTCAAAAAAAAAAAAAAAAAAAAAAAAAAAAAATTTTGCAACTAGATTTTTTTTGCAATAACTCTGTTATGTTTGTAATCCTGATCTGAAAATATTAATAAATTTAAATTTTTAAACATTTTAATTGTCTATAGCTGCATCAGCTACAAATGTGCTATTACAAATAAATGTGTTAGCCAGCCCATTAGCACCATGATTAATCTGCGAAATTCCCAATGGGTTTAAAACTCATAAAATTCATTAACCTTTTTTTATTTAAGTAATAGAACAATTTTTAGTAAAAATTCTTAATATTTTGTAGAACAATAACAATAGATATTCCTAATATCGCAAAAAACAAGGTAAAAACTATATTCCTAGTTATATCATAAAATTAAAAATCTTTAATTAAGAATTTTAATTACCAATAACTTTCCATCAATTTCTGACTTTTTAAGCATACTGATTAAACTTGGGAAATCTTTTTCACTTAACCATACAGAAAACAAAGTACGAGCAAAATCAAGCCCAATACCGTCTTTAGTGAGATGTTCATTAACTATCTGTGAAAGGCAGACTGGGGAAGACAATCCACTTGAAATTAGTAAGTACACAGCAATTGCAAGGCGTTCTCTTTGGACATCTGAAAATCCTTTCATAAACATTAACACCTAAAATGAAATTATTTTAAAATGCAAAAGTAATTATTAGAATCAGTGTTGATAAATGGCGTAAATCTTCTTGCATCCACTTTTCCTTTGCAGCAGACAGCTGCTGCCTCCCGATCAATTTTTAGCGGCAAAATGTTCTTTCTTCCGCCTCTAGTGGCTTTCGCTTTTCTATGAGGGGCTGCAGCTGGAGTTCTTTTTTGGAGGCAAAATGTTTTCGAGGCCGACGCCAATAGAGTGGCAGAAGCCAATGGTGGCTGCCTCCAGAAGAAATTTTGGAGGCAAAGCCATTTGGAGGTTGCCTTCAATGGCTTTGCGTCCTAACCGGCTGCGGCCGTCAAATTGGAAGCTGAAATATTTGCCTCCAGCCGACGGATGTGATGAAAAATAATTGCTCGTTTGCTTTAAAGCAATTAAATATTAACTAGAAACAAATGTTAAATACTTGACATCAAAGTTTTATATTATTTAATGACTATTTAAAAAAAATTTTGAAAAAAAAATTATAACTTTGTCAGAGCGTTTGTTTATCTACCATTATCAAATAAATTAATAATTTTTATTTCAAAACAAATAATAAAAATTAAAAATTTTGTTTACATGCCTTAAGCAAAAAAAAAAAGTTTATGACAAATAATTCAAGTTTTTGATCGTTTGATATTTTTGTCACACTAAAACTTTAATTTTTCGACCATAACATTAAATTATTAATTCTAGTCATTATATATTGTAAAAATATTTGAAAAACACAACATCTTTTAACATTATTAAAAACATCTTTTAACATTATTGTTTAACATTTGTTTCTAGTTAATATTTAATTGCTTTAAAGCAAACGAGCATTTATTTTTTATTTCATTCGCCGGCGGGAGGCAAATATATTACCGCCTCCAATTTGACAGCCAGTTAGGAGGCAGAAGCTATTGGAGGCGGCCTCCAAAAATTCTTCTGGAAACGACCACCATTGGCTTCCGCCACTCTATTGGCGTCGACCTCCAAAACAATTTGCCTCCAAAAAAGAACTCCAGCTGCGGCCGCCAACAGAAAAGCGGAAGCTACTGGAGGCAGAAGAAAGAATATTTTGCCGCTAAAAATTGATCGGGCCGGCATTATCAACTCTGATTAGAATGAAATAATACAGCACTGAAAATAACAACTGATAAATATCGTTAACTTTTTAAAAAATTATGTTTTGATCTTTAAATATCAATTCTGACCAAATTTGATTGGCAAGAATTGCTAGGCAAACTTAATATAAAAATCAAATAACTTCAAAAACAGAGTTAAAATCATCAAGTTACTAAATGTTTTTAATTATTGAAATAAACAACGTTTTAAGACAATAACTATCTTTATTTTAAAGTATAAAAAAAGCACAAAAGTTATATTGAATAAGCAAAAATACTGCACAATAAAAAATACTAAATGTTTTTGATCAGTGGAAAAAACAGAGCTTGAGATCATAATTTTTTTATATTCTTTAGTTTAAAAGTTTATTAAAGTTAAATGAAATTTTATGAATGAATTAAGTTTTATTGAATGAAATAATAACAAGAAATGACAATATTTCTTTCAAATATTAAATAACTTTTGATTGGTGGGAAGCATTTCTTGAACCGTTCAAAAGATCAATATCAATTATTGTGTAATAGTTTTAGTTTTAAATATTAAAACTGATTAATCAGAAAGTATAAAACTATCATAATCATAGAATGGATGCAAAATGACAAACAGTTTATTTAATAAGAAATCAGTATCCAAAGAACTGACTAAAAAAAAAAGTAGAATTAACAAAACAAAGTTACAATTAAAAACACTTAACAGATGGAAACATCATTTTCTTAAAAAAAAAGTATTATTTTATTTGGGTGCTTACAGCGATATGCTAAAAATAAAGAAAAGTGAATTTTATTAGGAGTTGAAAGCAAAATATAAAAATAAATATTGTATTAAAAATTGTAAATAAAATATAAAAATGAATATTGTATATTAATTATATATATTGTTATATTATATATATAATTGTATATTAACGTAAATTAGTACTTTGAAATTTTAAACAAACTTTTTTTTACTAATAATAACTAATTCTTATAAAAAAAAAAAAAATTTTAAAAAGAAAATACCATAACATAAATAAACATTAAAAAAACAACAACAGGTGATTAAACATTAAAATTATAATAAGGTGATCATTAAAAATTTACCTTTTTCATCTCATCATCAAGAGATTTTTCTAAATACTTATACTGACGAATCATTCTCTCAAAAACACTAGTCATGTTTCGCATACTTTTAATATCTTTCTCAGTCTCAAAAATACATAAACTTGTGGTTGCACCATTGTCATCATTTATTGTTCCACCAGGTCCAAGAATTCCACCAGTTATAAGAATATCAAAAAGTGCTTCAGCATAGCGACGAAAATCTAGCTTACTGCCAGCTTGAATTAAAAACTTTGAGGCCTGTTAAAAAACAAACTTGAAAAACTACCAGGTCTCTAGTATTATCAAATTAAAAATAAGGTTTTTCAAAAGAATAACTAAACAACTAAAATTATATGGTTCACAAAATTAATTATTTACAAAATGATATAAAATTTTAAATCATGTAGATAGTTGGAGAAAAAGATAAGCAACTCTTTCAGAGATCAAACAAATAATAAAAATATGAAACTAATACACGTTAATTTTTAAAAATATTTAAACAAATTTAGAATAAAAAAAAAAGTTGAATAAAAAAGTCATAAAATATAAATTTTATGAAAAAATCTATAAAACTTTTTTGCTATGGTGTTTTAAAGTTCTATCATTGTTAAATATATAATGTTGAGACCATTCAATAAATTTAAAAAAACTATTGATGACAAACTTGTGTAAAATGTTAAACAGCATAAACTTGAAAATTTCTATGTGAATGTTATTTTCATGTGTTTTATAAAAGTATTAATATTGCAATAATACAGTTACCATGGTGAGTTGAATTCACAAAACAAATAGATTTAATTAGCATTTTTCAAAATATACAGACTGTCAATTTACAGGTCTAATTTACCTTGCTTTAAATTTTTAAGTAACTTTAATTTATCTTCACTTTAAGTCAGCATGTCAATACCTTTAACTTCACTAAGTATGGCTAATGTCAATACCTTCAACTTCACTCATTAAGGCCAATGTCAATACCTTTAACTGCTCAGTGTTTAATAACTAAATCTTTACAAGTAAATTGTAAATTTTCTTAAACCAATTTTAAAAAACTAAATATATAATTACATTTCAATAAGGGTAGCTATATAGCTTTTGGGTTCTTCAGACTGACATTCCAACAATAGCAATCACTTTTTAAGTTTTAAAAATATTAAATTGAATAATATTTTTTTTAGCATAAGAGACATTTTAATTTTTATAGACATTAAGATGTAATAAACTTGCATGATAACTTTAACTACTTCATTTTATTTGAAAAAAAAATTTTTTTTTTTAAATTCTTAGTCAAAATAAAAACTTGCTGGCTTATTTTGACGCTTACTCAAAAAACCAGCCTTATAACTGAACAAAAAAAAATTTAAACAAGTATAAATCTATTCAATTTACAGTTAAAAACAAAAATGAACGCATAAGTGTAGAGTAAATTATTATATTATAACATTAAGTTATTTATTTTATATAAACATTAACATAAACACAATATCAGAAATTTGTTTTGCATAGATTGTGCAATACTCAATTTATTAAATCTGAATTAAAAATCAATCAAAATTAAATGAATATAATGAATCTAAACTAAAAAAAATCTTGATATTTGATAAGCTGAGATCAAAAAAGTCTTAACAAGAAAAAAATTTATCTTTGAAATCATATCATATTGAATAAACAAACCTGTTCAAGATCTGAATTCACATTATTTAGTCCAGCAACTATTTGATCTCTAAAGTTTGTTGGGTCATATTTTTCTTTCTCATCTAAATATAAACTATTTCATCATTTATGTGAGCTAGGAAAAAAGGAAAAAGTTAAAAATAACCACGACAACCAAAACATACATGTTTATAACTCATACGGTAATTAAAAATTACCCCTTTTTCTGGTTTTAATCCTCTGACCAGTTAATGTTGGTTTCGGTGTTTTTTGACTCATACAGTCTAAAATGAATACTTAGCTTATATTTATTTTAAATCACAACAATTAGTTTAAATTAGTTTATCTCAAGACAATAGTCATTTTTTTTTGGTATTAGATCTACAGAAACATTAGCACTATTTTGTTATGTACTTTAGGCATTACTCATTATAAATTAGCAAATTCCATATAAAATATTTCTACTCTTTTATTATTATCTTTTTTTTCATAGAGCGAGGTTTAGAAGCAAATTTATAAAAAAATTCTTACGGTACTATTCTACATTAAAAAGAACATGATTAATAGTATACTACACTGTTACTAAAGATAAAAAAAGTTTTTCTAAGCTGGTCAATAAATTCTAAACAAGAACCAAAAATTTAAATTAAGTACAATAAGTTTTAAATCAAAAAACTTTAGAATTTCTACTATACTTATCATTATCAATAATATTATAATAGTATGTATATTATTGTACTAAAAATTATACTCTTTTATTTATACATTCTAGATATATTCTATTTTACAAATTGTTTCAATCTTTTAATAGTTTTTATGTATTAAACTATACATTATTTAAAGTTCAGATATTTAGTTTTTAACCATTATTCTTTGAATTATATATACTGAGAATTTTAACATATATACTAATTATTAGGCTCCTTTAACCCCAAAATAATTAAATATAAAGCATCTATTTGACCATATACATTAATGAAGAGTCATTTTACTAATAATTTTGTTCATTAACCTAAAATAAAGGTGAAAATTTTAATTTTTAATAAACCCTCAAACTAAAATAAAAATAAACCAAAAGAAAATATGACTTCACCTTTCGTTCGGTTTTTTTTTAAATGCGTCTGAACTGACAGGCCTTGTTGGTTGATTTGTACCTTGTCCAAAGGTAGAGTGCGTGCGAGAAAAAATACGAAAATGGCGACTCTGGAAAAAAGACTGGACCTGAAAATATTGGTAATAACAACAAAACCGAAGCGATTAAATAATTCTTTTTAATATGATATATATATATGTTTAAGCTAATAAAAAAATTTAACCAAGAGTTACGTTTTAAATGTTGAGTTTTTTAAAATTAAATTAGATAAACGTATTTTTATTTATTTATTTGCGTTTATTTTATTTATTAATTTGCATTTTCACTTGATTAATATCTAATTAGTTAAAATGGCCGTATAACATTGATAAAATTTGAATAGTGAGACATTGGGATGTTTCATTCCCGACAAAGTTACGTTACTTCCATAAAGCAGTAAATAATGGGCAAAAAATGTCTGTTAATTTTTTCAAATTTTAAAATGTCATCTAAAGATCTTCAAAAAATAGATTTTTTCATACTTTTATCAACCTAAAATTTTATTAACCTAAAAAATAATTAATTTTATTTAATTTTACTTGGTGTATATAATAAGTTATCTTATAAACATTCTTAATGAGCTTAAAATAGGAGTACCAAATTTAATATAATAACTTTTTTATTGCTTACAAAACTGATGGAGGGAAAGTTGAAAATAAAGAAAATGAGCTGTCAAGTCAAATTGTTAAAGCTGTAAAAGAAAAAATTGTCAGATTTTGTAATAAGCTTAAACAAACTTGCAAAATTTTAGTTGTAAATGCATATAAACAGCTGTCAGTTGTCAGCTGTCAGTAAAAGTATAAACAGCTGTCGATGTTACGGAAATAGAAGAAAAGTAATTTTATGATGCTCAAAAGAGTAGCAGAAAATATATCATGACAGGGAGCACCGATCTAGGTGTTTCAAAATGCTTAGAACGTCAAAAAGCTAGACTGAGCGTGGATTTTCGGAGAAGGTCAATCAAAGATCAAAAACCAAGAACTTTCGAATTCTGTAAATTACTTAATAGTGCTCATGAGTCAGATCAAAATGATACGAAGTTTAACCCTCAAAAGAAAAGGAAGATGCCTTGAACAAGTTCACTTAAAATATCAGCAAAGAATTTTTCAGAGGTTACAGCATCTGTGGCTGACCAATGCTGTTTATCAGTTTACTAACAGCTTCTATTTCATTCCACTATCACTTGCAAAAGCAAAGGCAAACTTAATTATATGTTCATGTCAGTATCAACTTTGCATCGTCAATGACATTATGCGCGGGAGAAAAGTTTTGTTAATTAAAACTGAATGGAAGATAAAGTATTAAAAAAGGCAATTTTGCACTGATATTCGAAGCTTTTTTATTTAGACATTGACATATAATAAAGAACGTGTAGCAGTTCTGATAAACGGAACTCATAACGGGTGTATATTTATGCCTTCCCATTCACAAGAAAGGTTGTCGTACTGATCCAGAAAATTATCGGCCTATTTCACTAATTTTTGATTTTTGTAAAGTTATGGAAAAGTTATTTCGCTTCTTTATGACAGACCGTTTGAACACCCGCAATTTATTATCCTATCGTCAAAATGGATTTGTTTAAAATTGGTCGTGTACGACTAATCTTTTAGAAGTAAAAAAAAAAGCTCTTAATTATTGCTGCTCTACAATACTAATTCTGTTAGATTTCACTAAAGCTTTTGATTGTGTCTCACGCATTCTTTTTCTCCTGAAAGTAAAGGGATACGGTTTCAGTCACATGATTGGATAAAAGATTTTTTGAGCAATAGAAAGCAACGTGTTATTCTTGGTAAATCCTCTTCTGATTGAATAGATGTACTGTGGGGAGTTCATCAGGACTCGGTTATTGCTCCACTTTTGTTTTGAATTTTTATTAACGATAGGCCTGAGTTTTTATTTAATTTCTGTAACTTATTTGCTGATGACACTCAATTAATTGTAAAAATCAAAAGTTCATCTGATCTAGAATTAGTTCAAAAAGATATCAATATTTTACAACGTGGTCTAAACTTTGGAATTAAATTTAATATGAAGCATGGAATTTGATATAAATAAATGCAAAATAAAAAGCTTTTATGGTGGTTTCGATGTTTTAGATTACTTTTACATAATAGGATTCCAGTTAATAAAGGTTCTTTTAAAAATACCAAGTATCAGGTTAGCTTTTAATTCTGCAATATTTAACTCATCAAATACTCTTATCCCTTTTGAAAATGTCAATATTGAAAAGTCACTAGAAATTTTTTTATAATGAAAAGTCACAAAAAATTTATTTCAACAATAAACTCTAGGAGTCGGATTAAAAGAATTAATAAAACCTTTATTAACTGGAATCCTATTATGTTTTTAAAACTATGTACAAGTTATGTTCGTTCGCTGCTTGAGTTTTGCGCTCCAGTATGAAACCCCTATTTAAAGAAAGATATTGAAAAAATTCAACGCAAAGCAACTAAACTTGTTCCTCAATTAAGAAACATGAACTAGAAATCTCGATTGGCAAAATTAGGATAAACAACAATTTCAGAAAGACAAATGAGAGGCGATTTGATTCAGTATTTCAAAATCTACAAGAATTTTAATTAAATTAAATTCCTAAATCCAAGTATAAATCCAAAACACCCGCTTGTTTTTCGAATTGTCCTGCAAGAAACTTACAAAATAAAATCCACAAGCATGCCACTGTCAGAGAAATTTCAAATAATTCGCATAGATATAATTTCTTACTTAATAGAATTGCATCCCAATCGAATGTCTTGTCTTCTTCTGTTGTTTTCTCACATTCTGTCAACGAATTTAAAAGCAAACATAATAATTTTTGTCGTTCCATTAGAACAAAGTCTACTATAGCAGGGCATTGTTAGATGTCAAGTTCATAGAAGCTAACTACTTCTATTGTAAATTATTTATTTCATAATAGTTATGTATATTTCTTATTTAGTTATTTTCAAAGAAATTAACTAATTTTTTATTTGCCTGCGGAAATTTATTAGTGCAGTTTTAATTAAAGATTCAAAAGAAAAATTATAAGTGGACAGAATATTCAAAATTCACAAACTATGGTTAAGATTTATTAGCTCTTGGGCCACAATTCCATACATAATAAAGTACTATTAATAGTGAGTATAACATTGAATTAAATATATATTTAAAAAATGTTAATGAAGAAAAAGTTTTTAAGATGAAATGTAACCGGATCATTAACCAAATATTTAGGCAAAACTGATAGTGTTACTTCTAAAAAGCAATGCCTAAATTTAATTTTGCTGCGTGCACAAATTCTTTTGAGGAATAATTCACTCTTATTTCTAATTCGTTTTAACAACACCAACTTTTATTTACCTCTTACACCCAAGATTTTTATAGTGTTTTGTTAGGTTTATATTTTATTTTTTAATATTAACGATATTCAGTCGCATTATCTATCCTGCTGTGATACAAGTGGCAATAAGGTTTCAATTTATTATTACTTGTCTAGTGTTTAAATCATGGGTTATAATACAGTTATAAATTACATTTTTTGACATATACAAACTGATACTATAGCTGGGTGGATTTACGCGCTTCACCATTAACATTTAAACTTCGAACAACGAGGGCATCATTTTTTCTAATTTTCTTCCTATATTATGCAACTATTATTAATTATTTTTTCTTATAATTTTAATATTTATTTTAGTATTTTTTATATAGGTATGATATTTTAGGCACAAGAGTACTCAGCGGATTTATTGACTTGCCAACTCGTAGGACATTATTTTTTCATTTGCAAGTATGACTAGAAGAAGAGATATGTTTCTATCCCTCTTCTTAAAAGTAAAATTTTATTTCTTCTACTAAATAGTCGTTACATTCATTATTGATTTTCATCTAACGATATTATCTACAATCTGTTTCTATTACCACATCTACCAGGTCTACGTAACGGTTCTGTTGGTTATGCGATTATAGTGTCGCATAAACAATTAGCGCTAAACTTTTGAAGATTATTCAGTACTACGTTTCTTGTGTATATAATTGTTAAACTTTATTTGATAGTAACTAAAAAATCATTAGTTACATTTTATTATTTATTAACGTAGATGTCGCCTTAATGAACAAAGCTAACAACTTTTTTCAAGTAAGCATTTTAACCACGATTAATTATAAATTTCTAAAGAAACGGTTTTAGGTAATATTTTTTTAACTTTAACTGAGTTAATATAACGTTAATATAATTACGCTTCAGCTAGATCAATCATGTTTATTCAGGTTTAATAGAGATTTTAGTATCAACGCTAATTGAATCTTAAACACATGTTTCATATAAACACATGAACTTAAAGCAAACAACTTTATTTTATAAGAAATAGTTTAATTAATAAAACAACTATGCAAAATCTAAATAAAAATGAAATAACTTAATACAAATTAAATCTCAATACTTAATTGAAAAAGATGGAATTGTATAAAATGATTTTGATATAATCTTTATTTTTTTGAAACTTTACTGGAAAAATTATTACATTTTGAACGCCGACATTATATATGTCGCCTATGTATTAATCGACGAATAGAAACATAAGAAGACAAAAGTTCTACAAATACTTACGCAAAGAGTTCGACTTTTTTACAAGCTTTTTTACTCATTAAAAAAAAAAAACTTATTTACAAACAACATAATATTTCAAAAGTAATTAAATTAACAATAATAATTATAATAAAAACAATACAAAATTTACTTATTTATTTCATTTAATACGCCCAACAATTCATCACTTTATTATTTCGCGTTTTTATTGGCGAGTGAAAGTACGACCACTAAAAATAAAAAAATTTTTATTGGCGAGTGATAGTACGACCACTAAAAATAAAAATATAAAACATTTTTATTGGCGAGTGAAAGTACGACCACTAAAAATAAAAATATATAACATTTTTCAAAACTTGAGAAAAAAACATACGTGATAGTTTTCTTTTCTACTGTTTTTACTTCAGGTCGAGCTCGGTTCAAAACTTTAATAAAATCTGTAGTCTTAGCACGCATGCGCGAATGAAGATATGCCTAAAAATAATAAATGTACAAATTTAAAAAGATTCTGAAACTACTGAATCTTATTCAAAACCTCTTCATTATTTTTAAATTAAATATTAAAAACAATATCCGAAAATCATAATGTTGAAATGAAGTATTTACTCCGTTATGAACTTGAAGTCAAGAAGGAAGACAGTGTGTTATATTCTTATAACAAATCCTACACGACCCATGACTCAGACTTTGAGATACACCATACCAACTAAGTAGCAGTGTTTTAAACCAAAACCTCGACTTGTCATAAGAGAAGTCAAAACGTTCAGAGTCAACATGTAAAACAACAATAGAATCTTTTCGAAAAACCTTTTTCCTTTTTTTTTAAGAAGGAAAACAATCTGGTTGTTTGCTAATATTGACATGTTATTATTTAATATAAACCTCTCCCTCCTTATAGCGCGATGTAATTTATGGACAACCCCATATGCAAACATTTGATCTTCCTCTAATCATTTAAAGATGTTGAACAAAAATGGAATATCTGCAGTTTAAAATCGCCTCTGTACTATTAGAAATGCAACTAGATTGCACTAAGTACTGGTACTTTTGTGTGAAGCAGTAGAGATAAAAAAATTCATTTAAATCAAGCTTAATGGTATGCAAGAAAAACGTTGTTGCCTCTTGTGGACATAAAATGATGTTTTTTGCACACCGCTTTACATAAAACTTAGTTTTTTTTTTTAAACATCTTCGCTTCCAACAACGCTGCACGCAACCACAAATTAAAATTGGAAGTTACTGAAAGAGAAACGATTGACAGACAACTTAAAAGATTGCAAACTATATAAATTAGGAAAGCAAGATGAAGAAACGAATACCAAAGAACTGATGTTCGAGGAAAAAAACTAGAGGAATAAGAGTTTTTGGAGCACATAGGAAAAGTCAAAGAAAAATGATTAGACTTTATTGAATGACGAGTAACACAAGAATGAATTTTAGTAGATGGAACAAGAGATGCTAGCTCTTTAGAGCAGTGCCCATTATAGTATTTGTAGAAAAGAGAAAGAGAAGCAACATTACGACGATATCATAATGGTTGAAGGTTGGTTGCAAGAGCAGGTCCAACTATGTTTACAATTCCTTTTTGTACCTTGTCTAAAAGAGAAAGGGCATCATCAGAAGATCTGCCCAAGATATAGCAACAGTATTCCATACAAGGTCGAGTTTGAGATTATAGAGATAGAGAATAGAATCCAGAGTAAGAAAATGTTGAGCACAATAAATAGATGCAACCTTAGCAGATGTTAAATTTGCAACGAATTTGATATATGGTTTTCAAGAAAGATCGGAAGTAAGAATTAATCCTAGAAGATGAAGGGTAGATGACTCATCGAATACATTACGATTCATAAATATAGGTCTAAATTATTGCTATAACGATTGGCTGAAAAAAAGTGAGTTTTATCTGAATTAAGGTTCACCAGCCACTGTGAGCCACATGCTGTAGCAGAAGTGAGATCCTTTTCAAGCTCAAATGCCCCCCTCCAAGCAATCAGAGAGTTGGTTTCTTATCATGACAAGACAAATGGTAGTATCATCAGCGAAAAATGTCACCTTAGATGTGAGAATATCTAGAAGATCATTAATGATTGAACCTAAAGGAACTCCTGAGGTTACAGAATAAGAAGAGTGCTGTCCATCAAGGACAACTTTTATACTACAATTGGAATGGAAGAATTCAAGAATCTTAAAGATGCTTCCAGATACACTGTAAGAAAAAAGCTTATAGAGAAGACCAGCATGTTAAACTTTATCAAAAGCTTTAGAAATGTCAAGAGTGATGGCCTTAACCTCTCCACCTTTCTCTAATACACGATAAAACCTATTGGTTATTACTGTTAGCCAATCAGCCATAGAACGAGAAGATCGAAATTCATATTGATTATCAGAAAGTAAGTTATTAGATTCAAGATGAGAGATTTAGTACTTAGTACACTGTTTAATAGCCCAAGCAACTGCCTCATTACTATTAATAAACCCTAACCTGGAATCAGCCTCTCTGAGAGCTGATTTCACAGATTTTGAAAAACCTGACTACCAGCCGGCCTCAGAACTATAAAATTGAGTTTTAGAGCTGACCCTCATTAGGAGATAATAGAATGAGTTGCCTAGTCATTAAAACAGAAACACTAGCAAAATCCATGCATTGAGTCAAAAAGATCCAGCCTTCAACATCCTACACTGGAATCAATGTATTTAAAATACATTTGCACCAGCCTAATAGATGAAGAAGGGGTGCAAGACTGGTCAACAGATAGAATCTGTTTACCCCTTAAGTCTTTGCCTAGGAAACCTTCTACAAGACAGTAGCCAGATGCATTTAACATCTGCCCAAGATGAGTATTTTTATTGAGACACCATCTCTAGTTTTTACATAACCAGGATCTCCAAGGCAGGGGGCGTTTAATGTCGGAGTTGGGATTTTCTAGTCTTTGCCTAAAAAGGTGTACCCTACAAGGTAGCAGGACATGAAGCAGGTTGTACTGGGTTACATGTTACCAGTAGCAGGATAACCTGACCTGACAAAGTAAGTGAACAACGGTATTTTGTTATCCTTATTACTATAATAAAATCTCCGGAAAAAAGAAAAAAGATATAAAATGATCAATGTTTTGTTTTTTTTAACCAGTGTAGTGGTGTCCCTAAATAAGTTCTGACTACCTCACTGTAGATGAACTAAAGAATTTGCTAATATATTCCTAATAATACACCAAAAGTTGAAATACATGGCTCTTTATGTGGCCTTGATGATGCACACACTCTTTGACATTTTTCATGGCTTTATGGTTGTGCATTTTTGTTGGATTTTAATATTTTCTATGACAAACTAGGTTTAATTTTGTTTACTTTAAGTTTACTTTGACTCAACATAAAAAATAAGTCTACTATGTGGTGAATTTTGCAGTAAAGTTGAAGTAAGTTGATGCAAAAACTTTCACTTAGAGAGGCAAATTCTATCAACAGAAAAATATTAAAAGAACATTAATCATAGACGCCAAAAAAAAGAAAAAAAAGATTGTTAATCATAAACATTTCAAAGAATATTATTCATTTAAAAAAAAAAAAAAAAAAAAAATTTTTAGCAATTCCTTAGATTATATTCTATTCAGATATTCAAAATTCCTAAATTATAAAAATATCAAATATTTAAAAATACCTTTGAACACTTGATATGATAATGCAAATAATTTCTGAAAGTATGAATCAAATTTATTGTGTTTTCACGGGCTTTTAGGTTTGTATGTCGCTTCTCCAACACTAAATTTGTTATAGAAAAAGTTTAGTAACAACTTTTTTGTTTTTATGTGTGTGTACATATAGTAGAAATAATTTCTTTTTTTGCATGTATGTGCGTGTGTGTTTTTGCGTGTGTGTGCATGTGTGCATGTTTATGTGTGTGTGCCTGTATGAGTGCAAAAGACTTCACACAAATATTTTTTGATTGCTCAAAAAAGTAAACCAGATTTTTTTAAAAAAAAAAAAAAAAAGGTGTCTATGTCAAACAAACAAGTATATTTGTTAGCATAACAATGTATACTGTTTGTTATTACATTAAAAATTATATCTTATATAAAGTCATTTTCTTATTATACACATAAAATGTATTGGATTCAATAAATATGGCTGGGCATAAATATATTTTTTAAAAAAACATGTATTTATTTTGTTTTTAAAACTTTTTCACGACTTCCAAATTCTTAATGAGCTTATTTCAAATCTTTAAATTTCATTTAATTTTTCAAACATGATAAGCAATAGTTTATACAGTTTTGTGATGTAACCAATCAAAAGTACAATGACATGATTTGGAATGTTCAGTAGCACCCTAACTGGCTCATGTTATTTTTTTATAGAATGCATATTTTAAATAACTATAACAATACATATTTTGCATAAACATTATAGTTAGTAGACCCCTGGGGGTCTGTATTTTGATGACGTTTTGTCATTTTTACAGAATGTTGTTTAAATTTGGAGCTGTTGTAAATATAACTTTTACAATTTGTTTCCTAAGTACTTTTATAAGTTTGGGACTAACAATTGGTATCCTTTAAAAATCGTTGGTTGCCAATTGGTTGATAATTTTTATTTTTTGAAGTTGTTTTTTGTTCATATTAATAGGATTGATACTCTTTAGTTACAGATTTTTATAACTGAGACTAAAACTGAATAATAAATACATGATAATGTTTTAAAAAGTAACAAAGTGAAGTAAAATAACTGTTATTACTTTCAAGGGACTATAGAAAATAGTTTGAGATAACAAAAGTTCGAGTTAACCGATGTTCGAGTTATAAGGAATCAACTGTGTGTGTATATATATATATTCCTATACTTTAGGGCTAGGAAAACATGTTTGTGATAAAAAATGGCTATTCGCTTGTTTGTGGTATTAAAGCTGACAAATATAAGGTTAGATTATGTGAAAATGCATTAATACAATTGGGAAGATATTACACCACAAAAACCCAAATTAAAAGACTAAAATGTATTTAAAAACATTCTGAATGTTTTTATTTTATTTTCTAAAAATAAAAACATTCTGAATGTTTTTATTTTTATTTTTTACCTGAAAAACTTGCGCAGGGTGTTGTTAAATTGACTATCTTATAGCCTGACTTGCAATGGAGTGTGAGTGCAATGGAGTTGCAATGTGACTTGCAACGGAGTACTTCTAGAAGTGACTTGCAACGGAGTACTTCGACTGACAAACTGCCTTACTCGCAACAGAGTGCTGCTACATCGACTGAGAGTTTGGTTGGGGCAGGCAGTCTATCAAATTATGGATAAAAAAAAAGTTTTTCTTGTTTTTAAAATTAAAAAAACCTAAAACTTACAGGGTGACAACCATAAGGTGAAACACATAAAGTAAGATATATTTTCAAATTTAAGAGTTATATTTATTCGAAAGTGGTATCAATAGAAAGCTACAAGTGTATTTAACAAGTTTTATTGGTTTAATTCGAACCTGTTGCCCTCTGCTTTTATGCAGGCTCGACATCTCTTGAAAAAGTTTTCACACGCGGCACGCACGGTTTCTTGTGGCATTTTGTCCCAAATGTCGATCAAAAGTTCCTTGAATTGGTCCAAAGTTGTTAATTTATGCTTCCCCAGTTCTTGTAGCATGTATCCCCAGACATAGAAATCAAGGGGATTGAGGTCAGGACTCGAAGCAGGCCATTCTTTGGTATCGATAAAATCTGGGAAATTTTGCTTGCAGTAATCTTGAACAACAATAGCCTTGTGTGCAGGGGCAGAATCTTGCTGGAACACCCATGGATCATCACCATACATTTCTTTAGCCTTAGGTTCAATCAAATCTTTGATCACATTCTGTAAGTAGTATTCTTTGTTGATTTTCACCCCTCTATCGATAAATTTCAGAGAAAATTTCCCCTTTTTCAAGATGGCCCCGAATACCATGACCGCCAAAGCGTTCTGATAACGAGGGAAAGTTCTAACGTTTAAAGGAACATCAGAGAGCTTTACAGCATAAACTCTGTCATTTTGTCTGTTCAACGGGCGCTCCAAAGTAAACATTTTCTCGTCCGAAAAAACAATATCTGCACCACCGTGCCGCTTCAATAGCGATTTGCACCGCTTGACTCTTTCCACCTTGTTTTTGTCAGTGAGGCCGGCAATTTTTTGTTTACGGTAGCACTTAAGTCTTAAATCTTGTTTTATAACCTTTTGCATAGAGGTATATGACATGTTCAGCTCTTTAGCTAGCTGCCGACCTGAGCGAGCAGGATTTCTTCGTAAACGTTCTCTTACCTTTTTGATGATTGCTGGAGTGCGCTTGACGCGCTTTCTTTTTCTAGTTTTAGCTGGAATTGTTTGCCCAGTAGTTTTGTAACGAGAAATTGTTCGACTAATCAATGATTTGCTGATTTTTATATCATTTAGGCGTCTCCAAATATCAGCTTGACTTAAATTTTTTTTGTGTAATAAAATTATCAGCTCCCTGATAGGATTTAGATCTGTATTTTTCATACAATCCCTCATTTTTTCTTCCTCAAATTTTTAAAACTTTTTCTAAACAAATGTCAAAACAAACTGTAAACAAGGGGAAAGTCATATGGTACGGGGTTAATAAATGATTGGGGTTCGAAAATGTGTTTCACCTTATGGTTGTCACCCTGTATATTTTATGGTAAAAACAGCTAAAGACAAGCATGCAAGAGTATAAAGTTCGGTACTCTAGGAGATAAATTGGATAAGAACCTAGCGGATAAGAAAAGGCATCAAGAGCAAGAGTAAGTTGTGGTCAATTTTAGAGATCTTCACTTCTAAGAACAAAACACACATCATTGAAAATAAAAAAATTGCACACTACATGTAACTAGAGTGTTGTAATGTATGGCAGTGAAACATGGGCAGCAAAGATTGATGATGTCCTGCCTCTTAAAAAAACAGAGAAGATGATAAGATGGATGAGCGGTAAGACTCTAAAACATTAAAAAAAAGCAACTATCTTAGACAAAGATTGGGAATGAATGAATATATATATATATATATATATATATATATATATATATATATATATATATATATATATATATATATATATATATATATATATATATATATATATATATATATATACATAAAACAAATGAGTGCACATCTGATAAAGCAAGTTGAGATAACTTTTGTTACAAAGTTTATAAAAGAATACTTTAATACTTCAGTCAATAAATTTATTATTTGCTAATGGAATGAATAATGAAAAATCCATGCAAATGTGGAAACAATGATCCTAAAATATTTATGATGATAATAGTGATGCTGATGATAAAAACACTACATGAAAATAAGCATAAGCTAACTTACACTTACATTCAATTACAAAAGATATAGTAACAAGATGGAAATCAACATTTTATAGGCTAGTAAAACAAAAAACATCTTTAGCTTTTTTTTTTTGTCAAGTCAGAAATCTAAGGCTTACAACATTACAGAAAACCAACGGTTATCAGCTGAGACACTTTATTGAATTTTAAAATAGATCTTTAAAACAAATTTTTAATGTGACAACTACACATGAAATAGGACACTTGTGTCTCAAAATAGATTAATATTGTTTTCTTTATCATTTATAACCAACTTATGCTTAGGGAATGTTGTTTAAAAAAAAAAACAATAGTCATAAAGAAATTGGTAGGTGAACAAGCAGTCAATGCATCACCAAAACGCACATACTCACATAAGCACTCTATACAGTGTTGAACAAGTAAATATATATATATATATATATATATATATATATATATATATATATATATATATATATATATATATATATATATATACCAAATGTAATATATCCAATATTGTCTCCGCGTGCAGCATCTGTTCCTTCAAGTTCTCGTGGTGGTTCTTTATGGCTAAACAATACTTGTGGAGCTGTTTGGCTGGCACGTCGACCTTCTTTAAACTCCTAAAAAAAGATATATTCTTTAAACTCCTTATTTCTTTATTTTTTATTTCTATTGATTTTTTAATATTTTTTAATTTCATAAATAATAAGATAATACATGATTCTCTCATAAATAAAATCACACATAAAAAGATTGTACATTTTTCCTTCCTTAAATTTATCTTTAATTCTATTTCATTATACTTTTTTTATACAAGATAACGCAAAATTTGACTTTAAAAAAGTAAGAAGACAAATACCAAAGTTTCATGATGAAAATGATAGCTTGATTAGATGTCTAATAAAATTTACCCTAGCTAAATTATTACCAAAACTGACCTATATTAATCTACCTTTTTTTGGACTATTAAATAATTAAAGAACTATTAACACGAAAAAAATAAATATTCACTAAAAACCTGCATAAACACTTTTCCAATAATGACATCATCATCATCTTTAAACACAGTACTGAATATAATAGTAACTCTGTCTGCTTTTGCCTCAACATACATTGTTTCATCTTCACGATAATGTATTACAGCAGTTTCCTTACTCTCTTCTTCTTTTTCAAGAAAGTTAAAATATCTTTCGAAAACAGAAGCAAAACAATTTCGCTTTAATAAACCAATCTTTTTGATAAGAGGTTCTTAAAAAAAATTTTATGCATTCAGAAAAGCCATAGGCTATGATATGCAATATTAGAAAATAAAAATATGTAATAAAATATATACATAGATAAAAGTATAAAACATTGAAAATGTTTACTTGACATTATTTACTTATGCAACGGTTTGTACATTCCTAGTGTTTTATTAACACCAACTGCAGTATTTGAAACCACTATATATATATTACTAAGAATATGAGAAAGACATATTTTAACCTAGAAAATGAATAAAAGAAGACTTGCAATTGAACCGAAAATCGCACTTGAGGGTAAAAACTCTGAAGCATTTTTTGTCATGCAAAAGCTATATAGATATAAAAATTTTGAGCATAAAAGAGCAATCACTAAAAGAATGTGACTCTACACAATGACAACTTGATGATTAACTTCTCAGTTACAGAATAAAAAATGATAACTTATTTGAGCTTCATAATATAATAATAACATTTTTAAGATTATCAATGACACAAAATTTCAATATATAAAATTGTTGAAACCTCTGAATTTTATGTAATATGATTCTAATTTTTTAACATAAAAATATATGAATTTAAAAAAAAAAAAACTTAATTTTCTCAAATTACTATTAACCCTGAAAAGTTTTATACAAATTCTATAGTAATTGTTATTACTAATATATAATTATTAATAATAATTATTATTCTATCACTTTAGAAGAGACTTTAGAAGTCAACAAAAAAAAGGTACTGGATCTTAAGAGACATGGCGTCTATCATTTTGAACTCTTTATTGTTATTACTGTTACTCTTTATAAGTTCTTGTTGACAAAAAAAAATTATCACTTATTTGTAATAAAATGATCTCATTGCCCTGGCAATAAAATAAATGAAAATTCATATTTGATATTAATTCATATATAATTTATAGATAAATATAACATAACTAAAACAATTTTTCTTCTTTTTATTTATTTTCCTACCTTTGTCTTCTGGTAGTTTATCCAAATCAAGAAGCAATGTAACATCAAAGCCTAAAAAATTATTCATATGCCACAATAAATTTATGTTAAAAAAATTCAAAAATAACTTAAAAAAAGCAAAAACTGCTGCCCTAACCCAATATCTTAGTTGATGTAACAGCACTCCATAAATTATGTAACACAAATTTTCACAATGAACAAAACAAAAAAAGATCAAAAGTTCTCCTTATTTAAAATAAAAATTCAAAACAGTAAGTTTAATGAAAATCGCTGCATAAAAGAGCTTAATATCTCCTACTTCTGTTTTTTAAATAAATTTTGTGTTATGTAATTTATGGATGATCCCTTGAGAGAGAAAATAAAAACTTGCAAAACATTTTTTAACTTAAAACATTTAAACCTGGTTCTGGTTGAGTGAGGAATTCACCATAAATTTGCTTGATTAACTAAAAATAGTGAAAAAGCTTAAAAATATTGTAAAATTTTAGTATGAAAAAAAAAGAAAAAGCAAAGTACCAAAATCATATTGTCTAGTGAACTTTTTTTTGATTAACAGAAAAATAAATTTGTAAAATTTATTATGATTAAAATTTATTTGTAGTCTAATAAATTCTAAAAAAAATAAAAAAAAATCTAATGGCAGTATAATAAATATTACAAATTTTTTTCTTTATTTTAAATTTTTTTTTAAATTCTGGAAAGTCTTAAAAAATAAAACTCACTTCATCTGCTCCATGCTGTTGCAACTGTTTGTAAAATTTCAATGAAATACTAACCTAAAAATAGTTTTTAAAATTATGCAAAGATCTTAATAAAAAAAAAAAAAAAATTTAATATAATTAAATATAAATAATTTTATATAAAGATATACAAAATAAATCATGTAAAACATATTTTAAAAATAATCAAATATTAAAAAAATTCATTTAAAAAATTGCATTTTAAATTTAGTTATTTTTATCAAGGTTTGCTTGTCTGTACAGTTATTTTTATCATTTAGAAGAAAATAAAATAGGTATAGTATTGATATCAAATTTGTCACCATCAACATATCTCCATCAGATTTCTCCCCACCCTTGTTCTGTACCTGTCAAATAGTTGGCAGATCTAAACTATCTGCAGATAATGCTTTTCTCCTCACTTCTGAATAAATAATCATAATTTAAATGAAAATATTTTCATGTAATTATAAATGAAGCAATTTTTTAATAAAAAAAGAACACTGCTCATGATTCAAATACTTTTTTTTACCACAACCATAACCATAACCACAACCATAACCATAACCACAACCAGATTGTCACAAAAGATTGTCACTGGACTATCATAATCATACAAATTATTCAAAATATAATATATAACAAAAAATACATATATATCAAATTATATAACAAAATTCTGATATGGGGTCATCCATAAATTACGCAACACTAAGGGGATGGGGAGGGGGGATCGGGTAGGCAATTTTGTAATGATTTGTTATGAGGGGAGGGTGGGTTGCGATTTTGTGACCTAACATTTTTATTTAAAGACTTTCTTTTAATTAAAAGAGTATCTGACCAAACCAAAACTCTCAGTTGATGTATCTACATGTTTATTGTAAAATCAACTACACCTAAATCTTACTTATTCAATGTGTACACTCTGTTAACGGAGTAGTTACACCCTGTTAACGGACTGTTACAGCTACATGTGCAGTGCACGTTCTGCACTTTGAGTTTATATGGCTCAAGTGCAGAATTTTATTTAGTTAAAGCACAAAAGTGTGCAGCAACAAAAAAACAATCTTTGTGCACTAACTAAAAAAAAAATGATTTCTATACTGAGAAGCGAACCTGGAACCCTTGGTTTACAAGTCAGAGGTAGAGTCCGCTCAACCAAGCTTACGTTGATAGTTGTCAGAATATTGTACTCATAAAATAATACTTTTGCATGTATAATTATTATTTATTATATATATAAAATATTTTGCATTTATTATATATCGGAAGAATAGATTTTTAGAATTAGCATCATGTTTAGGATGGTGATGTTAATTTATACAATTTTATACAAAACTATTGGAGTGAAAAAAAAAACATTTAACAGACTGAAAAGTACTAATTAATTAACTTAAAGAAGCTCAGAGAATCATAGATAATATTATGTTTAAAATCATTTTATAATTTGTAAAATATTGGGTCTCCCCTCCTCCCTAAAAAAAATTTTTAGGGTGGGGGGTGGGGCAAACTTGTTGCATAATATTAGGGGAGGGCAGAGAGGGGGAGAGAGGGGGTATTGGTTGGTTGGAAGGGTCAATAAAGTGTTACGGATGCGTTACAAGGAGGGGGTCAAAAAATGTCAAAATCTGTGTGACATAATTTATGGACAACCCCTATATAAAAACTTTCAACTTTACAATTATTTTTGATTTATCGCCATCTTTGTTTCCAACATGAAAAATACATCCATCAAAATCTAAAAAAAAAAAAAAAAAAAAAAAAAAGAAACAAAAAACCATATTTATAAAATAAAAAAGCTGTTGACTGACATTAAAAGACATTGACTGACATTAAAAGACATATTAAAATACAAATCAAATTAAAATAAAGAAATATAGAAAATATTGTTGTTGAAATAATTTTTTGTTTTGTACCACATTTGTATCTCTTAAAACAAGCAAACAAACAAAAAAATCCTCAGTTTCTAAGATATTTTAGAACTTAGAGATTCTGGTGGTGATGGTGGGGAGATGCATACCCCCTTATCTCCCTGGATCCGTCACTGATTTGTATGTTTGTTTTCTGTATGGACTTCTGGCACGGTGCTGGTCACTCATATGTCACTATGCATATATTTATGTTTATTTAATAATTTTATTTACTTTGATTATTATTTTTTTAAATTAATTGAAAAAACGGTTGTTGATTAAAAGTCTTGTTTTTATAAAATAAATCGTACAAATAATTTAAAAAAAATTTACATTTCAAGAATAAGAAATTCATCTTTTTTTAAATATATATTTATTTATACCATTTTTAATAAAACTTACTTAACTTTATACAATTTAAAAAATAAAAATAAAATGATTAATGAAAGTAAATCATTACTTAGATTATAAGCACTTTGCTACTATAAAAACATTTAACTACAAAATATTATTTACAAATTTAATTGTTTTAGCGTGTTAAAACATTTTAGACATACATGGAAACATACATAAATTTTATATTAACAAGGGGTGTAATCGCACTGATCACACCGCCTAATAATATAAGATATTTCAAAACTGTAAAAAAATTTTGAAACATAATACAAAATATAAAACACGAAAATTTAATTTTGAACAAATCCTTAAAATCAAATCCTTAAAAAACTTTAATATTTCTATGGATAAGATAATAAAGTTTATTTTAAAAATATTTTGTAGATGATCAATGTCATATTTTGTATACAGAGCAGTAAAAAAAGTTTTTTACACCTGCAATTATTTTCAAAAATTACAAGTGATTATCAAATTCCTAAATTCAAAAACTAGCAAAATTAATAAATGACATAATTATCGTAACAAATCATAATAAAATAAGATAAATGATCCTAATTTTTATAAACTTACCAGCTACTTTGATGTCTATTGCTTCTGGTTTTGGACTGAAAAAATATATATTTTTATTATATTTACAGTTTTTTCCTGAAATTAGTTTTATTAATTTTATATATAATCTGAAAAGTAAGAAAAAAAAAAATCATGTAAATTATAATGATAAAAATTTTACTAAAACTAACTGCACTTAAAACTAACTGAACTTCAAAATTATACAAATTATGCAAATAACACATAAATAATCACAGATCATCTAGGTTGTATTTAAAAATTCCAGAACTTATTTTCCCTCATATTTGTCTTAACTTTAAACTTAATGGCTTTCCCAACTTTTAAGAATCTTTATTTATGGGTAATGAATTAAAAAGTTTAAAAACATATATATATTTCAAAAATATTTAAACTTGTATTTATGGACTTATTGGAAATCTAGAAAAACAAAAAGTTGAAAAAAATATACAGAAGTCCCGATATATCCGGAAAAAAGATAATTTCTGCTTAAATCTGAGTTTACGTCTTAAATCTTTAGTCTGATCGCATAATTTTGTTTGTTTGTTTGGGCTGTTCCCCAAAGCAACCCTAGCACTGGAAATAGTTATATAAAGATTACTGATCATTGATCATTGTAAAATCATTCAATTTCTTTATTTATTTCTTTATCCACATTTGTTTTTATTTCAGATCAGTAAAAATTAAAAATATGACTAAATAGACAATGAAACTATTTTCTGGATGAAAAAAATTTAATTTTTGTAATTTTCAAATCATTTTTCTAACTGTAACACTTGTAGTATTTTAATAAAGCTTAATAATCCACAAAAAATGATTTTCAGGTCTACTAATAAAATACATTTTACTAATCATGGTTTAAATACAGAACATCAGTTAGCTGCAGCTTAGCTTTCAATTTGATCAATACAAATCTAAAGCTTTTATTATAACTGTTTTTTTTTTTTTTTTGAGCAAAATTAATTGTTTTTCAAAATTATTTGCAAAGTTATTTTGCTTAAAACTGTTTAATGTTCTTAAACAAAGTTTTTCCCACTTATCAAAAGCTCACATTTATCATTTGGACTTTAAAAGTAACATTTCTAGTTATTATTTAAACTCCGTTAAATTCATTAACAATTAATTAACATTCAAACTAAAAAAAAAAAAAATCTGTTATGCTCTCTAACTATTTTTTTATCAATCAAAAATAAATTTTGCGCTTTTTTAATAAATCGTAATGTAAACTAAAGATTGTTGTAGTGTCTGTTTATAACAATAATCAAAAATATTTAGTTGCTAACTTACTAATTTTAATTTTCTGTTTTTGAATTTATTTGAATTTATTATTATTAAGTTTGCCATGTGATTCTTGCTAATGAAATTTGATCAATCAGAATTGATATTGGGAGATATAAGCATAATTTTTTTCCAAAACAAACATTATTTTTAGCACTGCAACCATAATCTTTCATGTATATATAAAAAAAGCCACTGTTAAAGAAAGGTATATAACTGACAGCAGAGAAAGGAAATGTACATACATTGACTGATAGGTAATGAGATAAATGTACTTGAACTAAAACTAAACCAACAGGTTGGCTCAAAGTTTCGATCAGGTTTAGGCTTATATTTAATATATTAAATATTTTAAAATTTTTATAATTCTTTAAAATCAAATTTTTTAATCAGATGAAACTTTATAAAGCAAATATAAATATATTGTACTATGAAAATTAATTTTTAAAAATAAACCAATTATAAACTAAAAAACATCAAGTCTAAAACTTTGTACATTACTGAGAATTTTTTTTGAGAAATGCTTTATATTGATTTGGTTTATAGGTTAATTACTTTATTTCTTTATAAATGATATTTTGAAAATTTCTAAAATTAACAGCTGAAAGTATTTATATCATGATAATACTTCTAGAATTTACTTTTGTTAATCAATTATTTTACTTACAAGTAACTTATTTAAATATTGTTTTATATATGTATTTATGTAATTATATGATTTTATATGATAGCTGTTTACATTAATATCTAAATGACTAATAATTAAATAATGCCTATTAATTAAAAAAGTATATTTAGAAAGTAAATAATAAAATAAAAAAAGTATAATTATATATAGGCAGGAGCTTTGCTTGGAAAAGATATTTCTTTGAAATTAAATAGTTAAATGTGGAAATATTTTACATTTCTTTTGAATCAATTGCTACATGTAGTACATGCAAATTTTCAGGGGGAAATATTTTACATTTCTTGTCAATCAATTGCTAATATGTAGTACATGCAAACTTTTCAGGGGGAAATATTTTACATTTCTTGTGAATCAATTGCTACATGTAGTACATGCAAAACTTTTCAGGGGGAAATATTTTACATTTCTTGTGAATCAATTGCTACATGTTGCTACATGCAAACTTTTCAGGGGGAAATATTTTACATTTCTTGTGAATCAATTACTACATGTTGCTACATGCAAACTTTAGATTGAAAGAGGTAAGAAAAAAACTTTTCAATACAACAAATATATTGTGTCACATAAATATAACATAGAGAAATAGCAAAAAATATTTAAGCTTAATAAGGAAAGCAAAAGGAAAACATAAAACTAACAAAATGTTTAAAAAAAAATCAATTAAAAAGTCAATTGAGGCAACTTGCTTGAAAATTTCTTAACAAACTTTGTTTTAAACACTTGATAAAAAACTCTGCAACAATAATGATAACAAATAATGAATAATAAAAAAAACCTTTATTCAACCGAAAGCCCAAGGGGATTTGGTTAAATAAAGATGAGAAATTGTGTCTTGATAAAAATACATCTTGATCAAAATACATCAAACACCTTGATAATACATCAAACATCTTGATAAAAATACATCTTGATAAAAATACATCAAATACATCAAAACTGCATCTTTTTTTTTTTTTTTTTTTTTAATATTTACCTACAAACACAGACGAGAAGGCCACTAGAGTCAACAAGGTTACTTTTGTGATAACCCTGGCCCTCTCTTAACTTTATAACTCTAAACATGAACCTCAACGAACAAGGCAGCTGCACGGAGAAACAAGTTAATCTCGGTACTACCAGAGACATGGTGGAGATCGAACTAGGAACTTCTCGCTTATGAGGCGGGTGCTCTACTAACTTTCTTTACAACCTTAAATCAAAAGTGATCTATTTACAGACTACTCAATTTAATACTCCTGAAAGTCTTTTCATTTCAATCACTTAAAACAGGCAGCCGACCTAAAGATTGCTAAACTAGCATCTGCTAAGGTTGCTTCTCTTTATCGTGCTTGCCATTTTCTCTCTCCTGATTCCTGAATACTGTTATCTCTCCTGAATACTGTTATCATATTTGGGCTGGTTATTCTAATGATGCTCTTTCTCTTTTAGACAAAGTTCAAAAATGCACAATGCATAGTCCTTTTTTTTTTTTTACATCTTCTTATCGTTCACTACTGACTTCAAAATTGATATATTTTTTTTTTACGAAAAAAATATTACTTTGCCCTGGCTTTATTTTGCTAGCGTAAAGTGGCATACATGGGTGTGGAGGCAGATGTGGGCTATAGCCTACCGTAGTTTCTATATAATGTATGTAAATAAGTGTATAGATTATATTCTGATAATAAACCCGCCTTACTTGATAAATTACTAAAACACAAAAAAAAATTTTCAACCAATCATCAGTCAATCCAAAGATTGACATTTTTTAAATCTTTTGATTAGCAACAAAACATTGCAACACATAATTTGTGGGTAAGAGTATTAAAAAAAATTAATAAAAAAATGACACCAGTCTAACTGGATAACCATAAATGCAACCCTAAGTCTCAGATTTTGCTGATTTTTAAACAACTTATAGATTTTAGTAAATTATGAACATCCTGAAAATTTTATCGTTTAATTTCAATTGGTTCCTAAAATATAGCTATTTTAAGTTTGCCTCCAACCAACAAAAACCTGCCATTTTTATAAATGGTTTTGGTCCTAGTTTCTGTTTTATGTGTGTTGGAAAGCTGAAAAATTTGTACCTTAACATATTTTGGGCCAACGAATCCAATGAAACAACGTAAAATATTTAAAAACGAACATAACACCTAAAATTTAAACATTTACCACAATTTTACTGGGCCAAGTCCAATCACAAAAATGCCGATGTAGTTCTCTCTTTTTTTTTGTGGAAGTTGTCCTAATTAATTAAGTTATAGTTATTACAAAGAATTGGTGAGTGGTTTTTACTGAAACATAAATAAAAACATGGTCAAATCTACTTAAATTTGTTGTTTAAAAAACAGGGTGGTAATTTGACAGTTATGTAACTGAAACAGTTTTGGCTATATTGAAATGTCCTAGATGTTGTTGAATTGCTGTTTCTATTTTTTAAGTAGTTTTATGATTTTTAAATTAATTAAAATTTAAAATATACGTATATATATATATATATATATATATATATATATATATATATATATATATATATATATATATATATATATATATATATATATATATATATATCAGGGCTCGAATTAACGCAAAAAAATCTAACCTTAAAAAAATCTAAAATTAAGAGAAAAAGCAACATTGCAATATCTAAACCACTTTAATTAGTCAAAGAAAACTATTTAATACGTTCGTGCAGACGTTAAAACACGTGTTAATTTTAAAAAGTATTTAATTGTTAAAAGCTATAAAACAACATTAAAACAAACTGCAAAGATGTTTTAAAAATATAAAAAGCTTGGGTTAATGTAAAACAAATTCGTGACGCTGTTTCGTGTTGATTTATACAATTTATAAAATAAAATGCGTTTAAAATAAAAGGAAGCAAATAAATAAAATTGATCTAGTTAATAAACTAAAACAAAACTTCATATTTGCGACTATAGATCTATACGAGTTTATAATATATGGACCAAGTGAGTAAGATCAAAGCATAAAAACATTAGATACCACGTCTTTTATAAATTATCGTTTCCTGACCAAGCGTACGATTAAAAATTTAAGTATAATTAAGTTTTTCATTCAAATGGT